TCTGGGTAAAACTATAAAAAATAATAATAAAAAAAGAAAAGAAAAGTTAGCGTCATCAATTTAATGTTTTAGCTGGGTTTTATATTTGCATATTTTCATTTTGTAAAGCGCGACAGCTAAGAACATCCGCTTCTTTTGATCGTCACATTGCGTCACATTGTATCGGAATATCGGATTGATAATAATTTTTTTTTTTGAAAGAGATCGTTGCAGGTTAAGCAGCAATATAAAGATATGTAGCTATATAATAAATAGTTAATAAATTGAATCGTTTTTTTTTTTTAAGAAAAAAAAACATAAGTGATGGTGCTTAGGTGCTTAGGTTAGGAGTTTTATTTTCTGGACAAATTCTATCAACGTGCTCTAATAATAATAATAAAAAGGGAACAGAGGAATTGGTTAAACGTGAGAGCTGGCAATATGAAAGTCATTATCGCTCCCAGAATTGCTTCATTGCTCTTCTTGAGTTCTCGGTGGCTGAAAAAACATGGCTCTCAGAGTGTGTTTCCCTCATTTGGTGTTTTTAAGGTAACATGCAAAGAGAGTTTGGTCAAATTATCCAAAATTACAGCTGACAGCCTCACTGTTCATGCATGCAGGGCTTTTCATCTTTATTGGTTTTCGTGCATACAGCGCTAGAGAAAAACATTTGGCCTGTTCTGTTGCTCTTAATAAATGAAATAATCATTAGAAAAGTACATTTTTGTAATTAATCAGGTGGTCTTAAAACTGCTCTTTTTTTTCTTTTTTCCTGCAGCCTGCTTTGACAATGGAGCCCATAAACTTCAGAGGTCAGAGATGTTTGCTTTGAGGCATTTTAAGCCCTTGCCTCTTCCTCTTTGGGGTAATGGCAGTGCATCTGTGGTGGAGGCCTTGGTGACGGCCATGGAGCAGCAGCAGGAAAATGTCACTGCTGTGCAGAACCAGACCAGTGGTGTCATCAGTGTGGTATTGCCCATGTCGCTAGGCATCATCTCCAACACAGTGGCTCTTTTCATCCTGGTCAATGCCTACTCTCTGCAGCGCCGGCGCTCCAAAGCTACATTCCTCTTGTTTGCCACTTCTCTGGTGATTACAGACTTCTTTGGTCATGTGATTCCAGGTGCCCTGGTCCTGAGGCTCTACCTCACCGGTGGACAGAGCACCGAGGACTCCTCTGATAGCATGTGCCAGTTCCTAGGCGGCAGCATGGTCTTCTTTGGCCTTTGCCCTCTGTTCATGGGCTGCGCCATGGCCGCGGAGCGATGCCTGGGCGTTTTCAAACCACTGCTGCACTCGTCCCTTGTCACCAAAACGCGCACAAAGATCTGCCTGTCCGTCATCTGGCTGGCAGCTCTGTGTGTGGCCTTGCTGCCCTGCTTCCACCTCGGCTCATACACCTATCAGGAACCGAAGACCTGGTGCTTCATCAACGTGCTCAACGACACCATGGGGGTGGACGTGGCCTTTGTGGCGCTGTTCTCTGGACTCGGCCTGACCTCTCTGGCTGTGGCTCTCGTGTGCAACACAATAAGCGGACTGACGCTGGTGCTGGCCCGGATCAGGAGGCAGCCCGGCTCCCATCACTCAGCCCGCTCCCATGACATAGAGATGGTGGTTCAGCTGGTTGGTATCATGGTCACATCATGCATCTGCTGGAGCCCTCTGCTGGTATGTAACAATAAAAATCAGTTTTCCAATGAGTTGTTCTGTTTTAGAGGACATACCTCCTGTTACAGCTAGATTAAAGCAAATATTACCTTTCAAAAAAAACAAAAAAAAACATCATACCGAAGGTGAAACTTGGTAAAGGTATTTTGATCTGAGAATGTTTTGCTACTTAAAGATCTGAATGATTTCAGATCTTTATTTGACCAAATTCTCATGCATGCAGGGCTTTTCATTTTTATTGGTTTTTGTGCATACAGTGCTAGAGAAAAACATTTGGCCTATTCTGTTGCTCTTAATAAATTTGGTGTTTTTGAGGTAACATGCAAAGAGAGTTTGGTCAAATTATCCAAAATTACAGCTGACAGCCTCACTGTTCATGCATGCAGTTCATTGTTGCACCTAATGGAGCCAAAACATGACATGACGTTATATGACATCCATATGGCCCAAAATGAATCATTGTGATTGTGAGCTCAATATGACCTGGCGCTTCGGTCCACACTTTTTTTTTTTTTTTTCAGCAGCAGAACCTCCTGAACCGAATTGGACCTAAAATGCTTTAAAGTCTTTAAAACCCTGAAGTCAAAATTTCTAAATTTGCTTCATGTGCATGGGGGCCGATGGCATCACAAGAAGCACTAGAATTGAGCTGGCATAAGTAAATAAAACACTTGAAGACACCTCTGAATGAGGGATGTGAGTAAAACGTGAATAAATGGTCGGTTGTCCAATGCCTGGTGTGACGTGACCAAAGGTGTGTGTGAGCGCAAACTTGTGGTTGAGTTTTGATTTTTTGACCAAATATAAATACGCAACAGAACAGTAAAACAAATCAAAAAGCAAAAGCACTTTTTGTTCTATATGTAACAAACTATATTTCAGTGTCTGATTTTACAGCAAACTGGCATTTAGCTTTAAGATGAGAACAGAATGTCTTTATTCAGAACTTCATCCAAAACTGCAAAATTCTTTCAGAACCTACGTTTGCTTTTGAGACAAGAACAACTACATTTTCTTCTTTTTTTTTTATTTATTTAGTTTATGTTTTTAATGTATAACACATTATCATCTATATATTGACACTTGTAAATAAAATGTGTTTCTTGCCACCAGATCTTTGCTCTGATGTCGGTGATCCATTCTTCCAGGAGAACCGTGGGTGAAAACCTGACCAACTACCAAACTCTGATGCACATGGGAGTGAGGCTGGCCACATGGAACCAGATCCTCGACCCCTGGGTCTACATCCTGCTGCGCCGCACCGTGCTCCGCAAAATCTACCTCATTGTAAAGTGCCAGGTGGGCCTGAAGGACACCGTGATGGGTCGCTGGGAGAAGAGCTTCTTCCCCAGTCTGGACCAGAAGGAAGTTCAGCAAGTCTGAGCAAAGAATTTGTTATGTTCACAGGTCACTGAACACACAAACCTTTATAAATACAGAAACGGCCGTTGAAGGAGGACATGTTGTCGCTATGATGAGGAAGCAGTCCAGCATTGGAGGTTTTCTTGATTAATCAAGGTTGTTTTGTTTTTATTTTTTTTCCAGACTCCACTGTGTTTACCAGCATGTTTGTTTTTATTTTCTCTGACCTGAAAAATGCAAGCTCGCTAAAGGCTGCAATTTTGCACAAAATACCATAAATGCTCTGTTTACTTTGAAAAAGTAAATATTCCTTATTTCTCTGTGTAAATAATGAAAGGATAAATATTAATCTGAATTCAGCACTAACCACACTTTGTAGAACATTTGTAAAAGGGAATGGTTTAACCTATCATAACTTTGACGAGCTTTGAAAGCTCTGAGACTTACATCGGTACAACCACCAGAGGGCGCTATGGAGCAGACCCAGAAATAATCGAGAGTTTTGTGAGAACTTGAGTCTACTGAATGTAATTTATTACAGAATGTCCAATGTTCACATGTAATTTTGACTTTGAGTATTATTTTGTGTGTTTTATACATCAGTCTGTAAAACAATATGCTTTTTATGAGTTAATACTTGAATGTTACTTTCAGTTTACTGGTAAAACACTTTTTTACATGTAAAACACTTTAAACTGAATGTAAATAAAACCATACAATGTGTTTTTAGTTTAAAATTCTGCTCTTATTTTTTTGTTTTACTCTGTCTTGTTTTGAAGAGCTTCAAAAGAGGTAAATGTATTGAAAACCCTCTGGCAGCTTCCCTCTGATTGCAATGAGCAATAATTTCCCCTTCAAAACATTTCCAACACAGATGTCCTGCTCAGTTTATTATGTTCTTCACTTTCAGTATGTTTCAGCAAAAGGACATTCCACAAACGTTCTTTTGCAAGAGATCATTATCTGATGAATCAGAAACACATTTGAGAATAATATTTTGACTGAAGCTTGAGTCACCGTGTAATAGATTATCAGTGTTTTACCCCAGAAGTACAATAAACATCCAGCTCAGCAGGGAGACGGTTAGAAATAAGAACTTTTTTTTGTTTGCTCTTTTCAAATGCTTCTTACAGTCATTACATCCAGTAAAATGTCAATGTAAATGTGGTACATATGGGAGGATTTAACATGGTGCATTTCTGAACAACTCATGTTAGTTGAGATTTTTATTCGTGAAAACTGAAAAACGAGTTTAAATGTTGGTTCATATTTGCTGAAATATGAACCAAACACAATGACCTCAGCACTTTATTGAAACCTCTATGGTTTTTGCCTGCATTCATTCTGACATACTAATGAATAAGTGGCATACTTCTCTCTTGATGTCCAGGTACAACTTTAATTGGAAGGAGATACAGACTGCTGCTGGTCTTAAATTAATCGCTGTGTCTTTCGAACAACATTAGAACAACATTAGAACATAATGCTGTTCTAATGTTAATGACTTACATTAGAACAACATTATGTTGAAGGGATGAAGGTCATTTGAATAAGATCAAATATTATCAACGATTATGAGAATTTGCTTGTTTTCATCTGATTGATATTTGTCACAAGACGAGATACTAAAGAACGCGCAAGCTGTGCTCCAGAATTTGTAATTATCCAAAAGCCTTTTCTTGTATACGTTTGAGTTCATTCTTTTTCTAAATATTTTAGGGTTCAAATGTTCAATTAATCTGCGACAGACTGGCGACCTGTCCAGGGTGTATCCCGCCTCTCGCCCGGAACGCAGCTGGAGATAGGCACCAGCACCTCCCGACCCCGTCAGGGAGAAGGGTGCTCAGAAAATGGATGGATGGATGGATGTTCAATTAATTGCCTGGTTGCGAATTTAAGCAAAAGTCTGAAAACATCCAAGATCGAGTGCACTTCAACTACTGGACCGCCAGGGGGAGATATTACGTCAGTAGTCTGAATTGCAGCCAATGAATTACGTGAAGAAAAGGCTCTACGTACTCATTCCTAACGGCTATGAATATTTTTTTTTATAAAATCATCAGAAAAACTACGAAAGGAGAGGTGAAGTTCATCTGAAAGGTCTAAAACTGTGCATATGCGCGACTTTAGAGGTAAGCTGTGATAGCATTAATGAAACTCATTGAGTTCGTGCAGGTGCTACAGCTAGCTAAAGATAGACGGTGCTTACTATAAAGTATTTACACCTGGAATTGATGTAGAGCGAGTAATAGAGGTTTTATTTATCAATTTATTGAAAAGACATATGCCCTCTTAGTGACAATTGCAAGCATTCATGCACAAGTTGATAGTTTGCCTCAACTTTTGCTGCTGCGCACTTGTTAGCCGCTAACGCTGGCTGCTACCAGCACCTGTACGCTGCGGTGTACGTGACGTAAACGATTTCATTTTATGTTATTGGCATTTTTCTGCGGCAGGATAAACGACTACAGTTTTTATTTATACTGCATGAGGCAGTGAGGACAGCATGGCTTCAGAGTGGGACGAACACCAGGCCTATGAAGAGCTTCTATATTGGGACGAACTGATCCAACAAGGCCACCGTCTTCTGCCTGAGGATTTTGACAGGTAGCGCTGAAAACATGCTCTATTGCTACAGATTCGCACAGAAATTAAAGGGCTAGTGTGTCACTCAGCATCGTGAAAGGATCTGGCCACGATTGTTCTTAAAGACAACTCATATGGGGTCGGTTGGAGGTTCTAGCACTAGTTTTATTTTTAAAACGTACTATTTTGGCTCCTTTTGTTGTCACTCCTGACAGATACGAGGAGCTGCGATATTGGTACGACTGTCTGTGCTACGAGGAGGAGCTGAGGCAGTACCATGAATACATTGCTGCAGTTCAAAACTTGGAGGATGAACGACAGCTTGAGGTTGTTGTTTTTTTCCCCATATTTCCTTAAAAGCACACACCATTTATGATCTACTGTGCAAAACTCTTAAACCACCCATGTGTTGGCCATTGTTTTACTTCCAAAGAGTGAGGCAGTCCTGTGTTATCCTAAAAGGAATTTCAAGGAGTAGATCTCCACATATTCATGTCTTGTAAAAAATGATTTTAGGCTGCTGTCTGCATTTCAAAATTGCTAGGGTCTTGTTAGCTTGCAGACTTGAGGTTTTTCTTTCTTGACAACTGAAGTGAAAAATAACATTTATGAACGCTACAACAATTTAAACAAAAAATATGTAAACAATAATGGCTTGTCTTTCAGCATTTGTGTTAAGTATTCATATCCCTTCTTTTTCACGTGTGATTTTTAGAGCTTTATAAATATAAAGCTTCCTCCTTTTTAGTTATAACTGCAGATGGAATGTCCCTCCCCCCAAGTATATTTATAACTTCTGTTTATTTTCATCTTTTTTTGACTGCATAGAAGACTTCTTTCAAGCACTCTATATGAAACGTAGAGTGCTTTTTATGTCAAAACTGAAATAACAATTAATTATAAAAAAGAGAAAAACCACAGTTTTTCTGTGATTTGGAAGTGGAGTTTATATAAACATTGCTTTCTTCTGATTTGTCTTTGTTTTCTTTTACCGCAGGAGCTTATGGCACCTTCAAAACAAACTGGGCCTCAGAATCACCTCGTGATGACAAAGCACTCTGAAGTGTATCCTTCAGCTGAGGAGCTAGAAGCTGTGCAAATGATCATTTCTGATGTGGAGCATGCTTTTAAAACACTCTCTGAACAGATTGATGGTGGGAGGTAAGCTAGCTGACCTTATTGGTCTGACGTCTTTTAAACAAGGAATGCTCTTATGAATAGCATGAGTCAAACTTACAATGAAACATCTCTCTCTTGTTTGTTTCTCAAAACACAATACCAACTAAAATGAAAGTTGTTTATATTTTCTGTTTGTTTTTGTTGGTACCAGAGGCGAAGAGCGAGTTTTGCGTGCTCTTATGAGGGTCGGTCTGGTTGCTAAAGGACTCCTCCTGAAAGGAGATAATGAACTGGAACTGGTGCTGCTTTGCTCTAGCTGGCCTACAATCACTTTATTTAATGAAGTCACTGAACAGTTAACTAAACAGCTCGAGGTACGGAGTCACATTTGTAGTTATTTAATGGCAGCCTAAATACACTTTTCACAGCTTCAATTTCTTATCTTTTCAGTTAGTTTCAGCTGGAACATATACAGTAAGCTCACGTCCAGAGGAAGCGGCCATTGTTGTGACCAGTAGCAAGGAGTCTGTCCCGACTCTCGTCATCAACCTGACATCACCTCTGGTCCGGGCGGAGCAGCAGACTAACGTCGCTGAGGCAGAGGGGAACGGTGTGTATATTTGTCCGGCTGTACCCCAGCTCTCACAGGCCTGTTCTGTGTGATGTCAGTAGACAGGTACTGTACACCTCCACTGATCTACAACTGCAGTAGATATTATCCCAAAAGTCCCCTGGGTGTGGCTCAGCAGTGTCAGCACAATTATTTTCTGTCATTCGCTCTTGTTTTCTGTTTCACACTGCAGAGGAAATGTTTTAGAAAAATCATATTATTTGTCTGAACTTAAAACCTGGACTCAGCTATTTATTATGTTGACCAATATGGGTTATTTACCATCTTTTCCTAGAATATCAGGAGTTAAATTCAGCAGCAGGTCTCAGTTTTTGTATGAAAGTGTATGTCTGTGTGGACTTAAAGCACGGTTAAATAATAATTATTTATGCTTAAGTAAAATGATTTTCAGGGGAGTAGCCGTCCTCTGAAGTACTGCAGAATGTCTTTTATTCTTCTGAGCTGTTCATGTTTGAGACAATTACTGCCCGTTTGTTGACCTGCCACAAAATCATAACTAGTTTGTAAGGAAATGGAAACAGTCTGCTCACTGCTGTGATTCTGCACAGGAGGTGCAGGGGATTTAACCGTAGAGCTTAGATCTATAACCCAAGGCCAAACTGAAATTCGGCCTGACCAAAATTAATTCTAGTCAGGCCAGAATTAATTTTATGATTAATGGGCTCGGGCATATTTGGTGGATTTTTTTTTTTTTGAGCCTGCAATACATGCCGCACAGAGAAAACCAATTGAGATATAAAGTTGTAAATATATTTATTATGTTATAAATAGAAGAGTACATAGTTTAATTTTGAAGAAAGAAAGTAAAAAGGGTGTAACAAACTCAGCACATTGCATGCGCTCACAGCTTTGCCTGTATCCCCTCAAGCAGCGCCAGAGATGGGATCCTTTCAATAACACATCCCAGATGATTTACACTTGACTCATCCTGCAGTTACAACGAGCAACAAGATGGAGCCAGAAGATGTTAAACAAAAGCTAAAATTGGAAAATATTACACTACTTACTCAAATGGTGGTCTAAAAGTGAATGCAGTAAAATTGTAATTAAGATATGTTTGGTTTACATTGATTAACTTGTTTGTTCAGTGTTTGTCAATATGAAATTATTTTGAGATCTAGTCTCAAGTCCACTGCTGGCTGCAGGACCTCTCATGGGTGTATTTCGGACAAGGACCACTGTCAATCTCTGCATAGTTACTGAATGTCTGGGAAAGTGTGTAAAATCATTTTGATTTGTGTAGTTCTGCTCAAAAACCGTAATAATTGGACGATCTGCAGTGCGATGTGATGTCAGACAAGACTTCAACCAGCATGTGAAAAACATGAACAAAAGTGTTGAATTGGGAAATAAAACGAGACAAAACGACATGCGTTGTGAGGAATTACGTCTCGGGTTTTTCCTGTCTTTCATCGTGCCACTCTGATTTATGGGTCACAATATTTTTGTCCTAAAATCCCAAAAGCTATCGCAGGTTTTCTGTGACCATGTTGCAGCCACACCCAGTATTCATCTTTTTTTAGATCAGTGGTGTTGGTACAGCGACTGGCTCAGACTAATGCCAGAGAGTTAACGGCTAATATGCTCCTGCCTCGTGGTCCTCACGTTGTTTTTGTTGTGAGCTATGATTTGAGGAATCTGTTTCCTCTGTTGTAGCTAACAACATTCTGCTCACGCTGGTAGTATTGGCTCAGTTATGTTGTCCAAGCCCCTGCTAGATTTACTTGTCAAAGCGCGGATTGCATGCTCTTGATGCTAAACCTGTACATTTAAAACCAGCTGCTGCAAAACTGATTCTGTGGTTTAGCTTGACCTATGTCAATTATTAAGGAGGGAGAACATTTATTTTAAAATGGTTAAACAGTTTAACAAAGGATTGTCCGGCTAGTTGTTTCTGTAAAAAATCAGGAAAGGTTATGTGGAAGTCTAAAGTTGCAGAGCATTAGTTTAAAGGACAGATTCTTATTTATTTTATTTTTTGGTGGGGGGAGACCCACATCTAGTTTTAGAACTGTTTTTAATTGGTAATGAACTGATGGGTTTTGTGACCAGTTTGAACGCTCCAATTTTTGTAAACATACCAAATTTATACTTAGGGATGCAAATAGAGACTGCAGTTTTCTCCCTGCTGAGAAAAGTTGATCTTTACGTGTCACAAGCTGCAGTTTCATAAATCAAACAGTACTTGAACGTGTCACACTGTGTACAACTGCAGCAGAATCGCATCAGACAGAGATAACCGAGACAACAGTCAGCTGCGGATCGTACTGGGTTTATTACAAGTCAGCTGGTGAGGGGAACAAAAGAGAGGAACAGGAGAGTAGAGAGCAGTTGATGTTCTAATGGCTTCACAGTGCAGGACAGAAATTTGTCATCTTTCAAGATTTTCCCACAGAATATCAGACCCGGCTTGATATTATTCTTCAGTCGTCTGGTCACTTGAGCTCTAAACTTTTGCAGGCCATTGATTCTAGGTCAAAACCAGATATTTTCTTTAAAATTAAGGATTAAAAAAAAATTTTTTTTTGTACAATGGCTGAAATGTATTACTTTTGCACTTAGGAATTGGTAATAAAAAGAAAACCCAACAAATCAGCCCTACATTGTATTGATAATTCAAGTAGAAAGGGCTGAGGTTTTCACATATTGATTCTTGGGTTATATATATATATATATATATATATATATATATATATATATATATATATAGATAGATAGATAGATAGATAGATAGATAGATAGATAGATAGATGTGCAGTCCTTGCTGCAAATGATACAGCATTCACTAAATGAATATGTGATTGCATTTTGAGCAATAAAATGTTCACTTATTATAAAAGGTAATTGAATTATTTATTTGCATTTAAAACGTTTTACGTGACTAAATAAAAAATCTCCATAATGTGGCACTTTTTTTATCCAGTTAATTCTCAAAATAATTGATAGATTAATCGATTACTAAAATACTCTATAGTTGCAGCTCTAGTCTGTTTCCACTCTTTCCATTTGGTAGAAGCCACCTTTGGGCAGGGATTGATCAGTTTTGCTGCAGTATGGGATAGTCGTGAACTTTTTCTCTCTATGCCTGTGATTTTAAACTGACTGCCTTATAGTTTGTGAAGTTTTGTAGGACCGCTGGACCTTTGACCAACTGGACACACTGTCTCAGGAAGTGGAGGGTAGCAAACCCAAGCCATGAGGCTGATGGAAAGGGGTTTTATAAATAGTGCAGACACATTCACAACATGTCGAGCAATGTTGTGAATGTCACCCTAATTCTTTCACTTACAGTAAATCAAAAAAGTTTGCAGAAATCTTTGGTAGATGATTTTAGGCTAAGAACAAAGCCTGCCACGTCACTTACTCTTGACAGCCCCATTCCCTGCTTCTGCTGGTTTGGGGAAAGCTGCTGCTCCCTGAGCTGCAAGACAGAGCCAACCCCCTTGGTCAAACTGTACCTTTTCTTCTTACCCCACCTCGTCAATAGAAACGCAAACGGTCAACGATCCGCCGGACGTTCTGGACAGGCAGAAATGCCTAACTGCCTTGGCGTCTCTCCGCCACGCCAAGTGGTTCCAGGTTTGCATTCACGTCATTATTTTTAATTGATCTCTCCTTTATGTTTTGTCCAACCTATAGAGAGTGACAGTTTATTAGTTTTATTATATTGCCTTTAAAACTCCAGACTTTAAAGTTAAAGGATGGACTACTAATCAATACCAATGACACATGTGGATGGCTCATTGGTATGGATTGGATCTTAAGGCTGAGCTTTCTCTCTTTCAACTCCAGCACTGTGCAAAGATCAGTGAAAATCTGACAGGTCGTTTATCAGTAGTTCTTGCTATTCCATGCCTGCCTTGTTTTATGAATTGGTTCATGAAAACTCTGAAAGCACAGAAGCGAGGTCTCTTTGGAGCAGCCAGACGGGCTTTCTGACTCAACTGGTTTTTGTTTTGTGTCCCAGGCTAAAGTCAGCAATCTCAGTTCTGCAGTCACTGTGATCCGAGTAATGAGGGATTTGTGTAAACGGGTTCCCGATTGGTCACCCCTCTCAGAATGGGTGAGAAATGTGTTTCTACTTTTCCATATCAAGGCTGGACAGAAGTTTTTGTCTTGCTCAAAATTGTACCCACAGAGGCTCATGGTTCACAAAATATTGAATGTTTTCTCTCTTTTTCAAGAGTAGTTTTAATAAAGCAAGGCTAAGGCCTCGTAATTATGTGAATCATTTAGTTTGTTAGTTTCTCTTTTTGATATCTTGATACTAAACACCACAGGATTATCAAAATAACTATGAAGGTCTTAAAAGGACAGTGATCTGTTTTAATTGTTTCCAAGTATAATTTTGACTTCAAGTAGCGTCTAACTTGAAATGTTGCTGTTTCTCTTTCACATAGTCTCTTGAACTGCTGGTAGAGAAAGCCGTCAGTACATCTGAGCGGCCAATGGCAGTAGGTGAATCCTTCCGCAGAGTTTTAGAGTGCGTCGCCTCTGGGATCCTACTGGAAGGTGAGTTCCTCTTCAGTCCATCATGGCATGGAAACCAGCATGATTGTCCAAACTGAAACATGTCTGTTCAAAGACGGCCCCGGTATAAGGGACCCATGTGAAAAGGAAGATGCTGACGCCACTGCAAATCTGACTGAGCAGCAGCGTGAAGACATAACAAAGAGTGCTCAGGTATGGTGAGATGCAAAAGCAGGCAAATGTTAAAAACGGGTGTTAAGGTTAGCATTTGACATGTCAACCTTTTTCTCAGTTAAAATGTTTCTAATAGGGTCACTTACATGACACTCATACCAGTCGTCTCCCACACAAACTGTCTTTCTACTTACTCTGATTTTCAATTCTTTACATAGATTTTCACCTGGGTAGAAGTCCTGTGATTGGCTGAGTCACTCAAGCAGTTTTAATTTCGCTTGACATTTTCTTTGACTTTGTTTTGCGCAGTGAGTGTGTAGATGTCATTGAAGTTGAAAAAAATTGCACCAGGTGTTTTTTTGTCTGTTTTCTCTTTGTTTTTGAAGCTTTGCAGGGCTTTTTGACTCCTGCAACGACTCTTGATTATGCTTCTGACGTCTGACAGGAGGCCTCTTGGCTGTGGCTTTTTTTTTTATCTTATTTTTTTTCCACTTCTGGATTATGGCTGCAATGTTCTCTAAATGATAACATCTAGAGATACAGCTATACTAATTACCATTGGTATATTTTGCAACAGTCTTTTGAGTCTTTGCTTTTACTAATCATGCCTCTCAGTTCTATACTCTGGTGAAATGAAAAGGCGTTTCTTTTTGGTCACCAGTCCTCTACTGGTCCAGATACAGCAGCAAGAACTCTACTGATGAAATTCAGCTGGTTTCCAGGCTTTCTTTGCTGTTTACATAGGATGCCATGTGATCAGTACTTATTTCCATCAATCTATCCATTTCCTAACACACACTTATTTATAGTAGGGTCATGAGGGGTGCAGGTGTCTACCTCCAGAGGTCAACGAGCGAGAGGCGGGGCTCCTCTGGACAGGTCACCAGTCCATTGCAGCAATACTTATTTAATTACAAATTTAATTTATGGACTTATTTGTATTGATTTCTCTCTATGTGTGGATTGCCTTGATTCTTGCTGACATTTGATTATTCCACACAAATATTAATATAATTGCTGAGAAAAACATTGACTTGTTCAATACTTATTTTACTCGCTTCAGTTGCATTAAACTTCTTGACTCTCTTGACTTAGTTTTTTTTTTTTTTTTTACTCAGTTTGCTTTGAGGCTGTGGGCTTTTGGACAGATGTACAAGGTGTTGGGGATGGACAACAAACCTTATAAATCCCAAAAATTTTTGAAATACACCCGCAAAGACGGCACAGGTACAGGACAACAGAGATCCTCTGTGGAGCCACGCGTTGTTCAAAGAGTCTGGTCCCAACCTTGTTTCTCTGGTTTAATGCAGGTCAGATGACTCCTGCTTCTCAATACTTCCTCCCGGCTAAGAGGCCTTACTCGGCAGTGGAGAAGGATGAGGACGAGTCGACCTCGAAAAGCAAAGAGAAGAAATTTGAGAAAGGCTTTCTAAAGAAACATTGTAAGAACTATCACAGTACCATAAATTTGTCAAAAGGCTGTTGTCTGAGTTGCACTATTTTTCACCTTTTTCCTCTCTTAGTTGACCCCAACATAAATCCTGTGATGCGTCTAAACCAGTATCAGTCTCGCCTGGAGTATCGGCTTATCTCTCAAACCGGTCCGGTCCATGAGCCGGTGTTTACCATGTCTGTGGATGTGAAGGGAAAGACCTACGAGGCGTCGGGACCGTCTAAGCGAGCTGCCAAGCTGAACGTCGCCATCAAGGTGAAGCTAATAAATCATCTCTACATGAATGAAGTCAGTTTATCAGCTCACACCCCTACCTCTATGTTTGAGGCCTATTACTGTTGTCAAAGTGGGCCTGTCAGAAGGAAAATAAACAAAAATGCAAGTAGAATTTATTGAGCTTATTTTAATTTGTCAAGCGATTAATCGATTCAGTGCTTATTGAGGCAGGCTTAGCTGAGGTTCTCCTTCCTACAAACACACCAAGCATCAGACTGCAGACTCTACCTAAGCAGATCACCTGACCAGTAAACCTGCTGTTATCAGCTGTTGATTTGATGTGTTTCTTATTCACAGGCCCTGAAAGATCTTGGTCTTCCTACAGGCCTGGAGTCAAAATCAGAGCTGAGTGGCGATACTGAAAGCTCTCAGAAATCTGACTCTTCGGCAGCTTCTACCGCAGCAGACGAGGTAAAGGACTCTTAAAAGAATCATATACAGTGCCTGCCTTAAGAGAAGAAAATTTTTGATTTAATTTTTTCTCACTGACTGCTGATAGATTGGTCAGGGTCCCCTCTTGACTAAAAACGGGAAGAACCCTGTGATGGAGCTCAACGAGAAGCGGCGCAGCCTGAAGTATGTGGTGCTTAAAGAGACTGGAAGGTCCAGCGCCAAGTCCTTCGTCATGCAGGCGAGTCAGCAGCATCACACTGGACAAACAAATGTAGAGGTCAATGTCAGTTGACCTCTATACATATATATATTATTTATTTTATTTATTTGTTTGCTTTTCAAAAGCAACAACATGGTGCTTTTTTTTTTGAGGATTGCAAGGTAATAAAATAATATTCCATAAATTAACTAAACTACAGAATAAGAGCTCAATAAATTCAATAAGGCCAAGTAAAAAAATCCCACCTTCAAGGACAATACTAATTTTTTTTTTTTTCTTGTTTAGTTTTACTCTAAACTTCAGAGGTGCACTGATCACAATCTTCTGGCCAATAACTCAATTGTTAAAAGCCTGACCTTCCGATTTGAACCAAAGACTATTTATTTTTAGAACCAACACTTTTAAGTTGTGACACTGCATTTTACTGAAAAACACTGAACAGTGTCCACAAAACAAAGAAAGTTGTTTTAACCACACATGAAGTAAAGCTCTCAAATATCAATAAAAAGTTAGGACAGAGCCTGGCTGCCCTCTCAGCCAGCTGTGTCTCATGGCAAAGCAAAAGGAGGCAGCAGCTGCTTTTCTGTGTTGGTGCAAGAGTTTAGATGGATAAGATTGGTTTGAAATGTAATTATCGTTTAGATTGCCAAAATTAAGAAAATCAGGACCGATCGATTGATGATTCTCTATGAAACTTTCATTCACTTGATCTAAAAAGTCAGATATTCAATAAACATTTTGCCAAAAATGTAGTAAAATAAAGTCTTTTACAGAAATGGTCCAAAGCAAACGGTTTTCTGCCCTGTGTTTCAGGTGGAAGTGGATGGGCAGAAGTTTCAAGGGAAAGGCTCCAATAAAAAGGAAGCAAAGGCTCACGCTGCCCTGGCTGCTTTGGAAAAGTTATTCCCAAATGATGACGACGCTTCAGACGGCAACCGAATGTCTGCAAAGAAGAAGGTTATCTACACCGACATGGTAGTTTATTGGAGAAACTCCTTTTGATGGTTTTATTGTTATGCCACTTTACATTAAACCATCTAAAATGTCCTGCTCAACAGCACATCCCAGGATTTGGCACAATCCGTGGTATTCCATCAGATACTGGGTCTCGAAGCTGGGGTCCCAACAGAGGGGGCCAACCCAGGGGCCGGGGCAGAGGTCGGGGCCAACCTTTCGGCACCGGACCCAGCTATAACACAAGTAAGAGGTTTTACACCGATTGGATAGAGGATCTGCACCAAGAAGCTCAGGGATGAGGAAATCACTAAATGTCTTTTTATTCATTTTAAAGCTAACTACAGCTATGAGAGCAGCGCTGGGACAGGCTACCGTAAGTATTTTGATACCCGTAATCATGGTCAATCCAGAACACATGAGCATAATCTACTGGGGATTAGAGGAATCTCAGACAGGCAGCGCTCGCATCCGTCAATGTTTTTTACCTAAATGTACTTTGATCAGGTGATCTCTATGAATACGTTTACTTTGGATAAGATTGTGATGAGTACAAATCAATGGAGTGTTATAACTTTAGTGCCTCACACTACAAACCCATTGTTATTCCCCTGATTCAATTAACCAGAAGGATCTTTTAACCTTTAATCTATCAAGTGAAAACATTTATGAGCAGTTTTAAATCAGTTTGAAATGGACAAATCATAATATTCGCCCTGCTAAAAATATAAATATATCTTCAGAGATTAAAACATAAGAGATTAAAATATATAAATACAAAATTTCTTAATATTCCAAACAGTGTTTTGTTTAGTCCTTCTTTAGACTTTATTGATTGTTGAGCCTGTTTCAAATTTAATACGTTACTCTTTCAAATATGGATGGTTTTGTTCTCACGCAGCATCACAAGATTATTTATACTAGGAAATCTGCTCTTTCAGAACACAAGTCTAAAGTCTATGCTTTTGTAAAGTCTGCCTTGCATTCAATCAAATGAGGCCATCTGTCTGACAGATAAAGATTGGTCCTAACAGTGGATCATGGGGCAAGACAGTAATCACAAACACTGCAGCCAATCTACCACAGAATCACTGAGAAATAAATCAATATGTTGCAAGGAATCAAAACCTCTATCTCACCCTGATTGAGACCTTAAGAGAACTTTGAAAAAGGCATTTCTGCAAATCTCAATGACCTGAATAAAATCTGTATAAAGAATAGTGGGCCACAATTCATCAGATATTTAGTCATTGGGTTGGCTCAACAGAAATGCACTAGAACTGCAGGATGGTTACATTTAAATGAGAATTATCTAAAAAGTCTTCAACTTAAGCCTGTGGTAGCTTTTATTATAATATATATATTTATACATATTTGTTTAAACTGTAACTATGTCCTGATGATAATTTATGAAAAAAATCAAGCTCATCCGCCTCTTTCCTGTGGCCCTACTGACATCTGCAGAAATACACTGCTCAGTCATAAGCAATCAATCAGTCCAGAGGAGAATCTTAGCGCTGTTAATCACTCTCATATATGCACTGCTCACACCCTCACAGATTATTAATGGCCTGAATTTGTTTTTTGTTTTTGTCGTTGTTTTTTTTTTAATTCAGACAAACTTTATGCTAACAATGCTGCCAGCAACACTAGCAAAAACACCAATGTGGCTGAATCGGACGGCAGCACAGGCTACGGTACATTTTACCCAGAGAGCAGCACCACCTACTCCTCCCCACCCGTACCCAGCACCAGCGACACAAAGGGACAAAGCTACCGCTCCATGCCCCCACCTGTTGACCAGCAGAGCCCATATAGCTACGGATATGGCGAGGAAAAGAAGAAGATGCTGACCCAAAGCAATCCTGTGGTCCAGGGAGGAAACTCCTCCACATACAGCACAGCCTATCCTACTTCTGTTACAGCAGGGCATTCATATGATTACGGTAACAACCGGTTTCTCTTGAGATGTCTTTAATTTTTTTTTTTTTCTGCCGCTTGGCGATAACTTCTACTACAAAACTAATATATTTTTGCTCTGATCTCTACGCAGGCTGGGGGAACCAGGTCAACTGGGGGAATCAACAGGGATTTGACACCTACCAGAACTATATTGGACAAAACCAGGGCCAGTACTCTGGATACACAAATTACTGACGCTTTCAAATAACAACACTGTTTCTTCACAGTTTTTAAAGTCCGTGTCCTCTGTGTTGTTGATAATCCAGAGAACCCTCATGCTTTTTCATTTCGTTTCATCACGTGGATGATTTTAGTTGACATTTGGTGAAACAAGTTTCTTTTAACATCGTCACAACAGTTTGAAACTGTTTTGTTTCTGTTCTTCATCAGGATGTAATTCTGATTTAAGGATTTGTTGGTGTCAATAAAGATGCTCTATCCTTGGTCTAAGAAAACAAGTTTCAGGTAACTCCTTTTGAAAAAGGTTTGTGGCTAAATAAATACCTTTAGACAATAATAAATTGACAGAGCAAGGGGTAAGGGTCAGGTAAACTCACCTTTGTCTTTTGACCTTGCAGCCAATAGTAAATAGTAAATCCATTTACTATTGTTCCATACATCCAATATGCCCAATGATCAATTCATTCATTCACTTTGAGTCCATCTATCCACCCATCCCCTTCATCCAGCTGGCCATCTATTCCAAGTTATGTCCAAGTTATGTCTTAGAAATCATTCCTCCGTCCAGTTGTCCATCCATACCTCTTTGCGGCTTGTTTCCAGATTCCATGTTTGGATCCTAACCAGAGTAGAAATATGTTCAACGTACAACAGGAGCACACATTTTTATACTAAATTGGGCTTAAGGGTACAGAACTGTGGGAATTTTGATTCTGACGAAGTTTGACATGAAAACTTCTCTTCAAACGTTTTAAAAAAGTCTTATGAGGCTTAATTTAGGTTTGGAAATATATAGTTTTAAAGTGAACTTATGTCTAACTCCTGGACTTTAACGAGTGTGTTTTGTAACACGATGAAAGACACTAAAGAGTTTCCAAGACAGACAACTATACCCGTCCGATTATATAACATGATCTGTTTTCCATTAAAAAAAATAAACAGAAAGACAAAAACTTGAGCTGGAAGCAAAGCAGGAAAAAAACGTGATTAATACTGAAGTGTTTAGAAGTGGAGTCTAGACACGAGCTATATTAACCATTGAGGATCACACATGGCACCAATCACCGCCTGGTCCTGAGTCAGGCTGTGAGCAAGAATCATGCCTCCTCCAAACGCACCGATATAAAGCCCAGGAAGGAGGAGAGGTGTGAGGACGCAGTCAGCCAGATCCCGTTTCCTCACAGTGAGTGTTTCAATTTGCTTTCTTTATCTCAACAAATGTAGACAATTTGAACAGCTTGTACTTAAAAGGAGTTGTCTGTTGCTTTTTAGGCCTAAGTGTTCTTTCAAAGGTGATCTATTGTGCTTCATTGAACAAGTTATGACAGATTTTTGAGCTATACAAAACATGGTTATTGGATTTTTTTTTTTTCTTTTTGTACAAAATCGTTCTTGGGTATTGACATTTTAGTGCACAATTATACAACTTGTAGATGTTGGAAAAGCAGAAGTAGAGCCTCCTGCACAACCAGCAAGAAACTGGTGGTTTCTGGATGGGAAGTCAACAACAAAACAGTTTTGTTTTCCAGCAGCCATTTCTGGAAAACACCTCGTGCGGAGGTCATGTAGCAGTGAAGCCAGCCGACCAAACATCCTGGAGCTCCCCTTGGGTTGCTATGTTTCTGGCATTGCATGCAGAAGGTTTTTGAAATGGCAAATTTTCTAGCATTAATTTAAAAACAATAATTTATTCCCAGAACACAACCACATGTTTTTTTTTTGTTGTTTTGTTTTTTTTTGTGGCTTTTTTAAAGTGCCTGAGAAAAAAATTAAATTACAAAATTACAAGTATAAAGTCATATTATGAGAGTAAACTGGTATAAAAAAATTATGAGAATAAAGTCAATAGTTTGGGAATAATTGCAGTAATATGACTTCATTCATGTGTTATTTTGACTTTATAATTGTGCAACTTTATTCTCATTAAATTGACTATTTTATAGTACTGTTACTTTATTACAGTGTGTTCTCATATGAATCCATTGTTGTTATATTGCAACTTTATTCTCATCATTTTAGCTTTTTTTCGTCTTAGTGTGACCCCAAAGCTCTTCCAAAGGTGCCCTTTAAACTGTCATGATAACATTAGATGTTCTATAAAAGGCAGAGATGCTCTGGAACACTGAACTGTGACCTCTGACCCTCTCGGCCAGATAGATATGGCCACATTGATTGGCCATCATTATCTGGGACATGACGGCTTCAAGTTGCACCAGTCACACTCACGATAGTGTTGTTTACAGCAGTCGCAAGAGAAAGAGGAAGCATAGCCACACACTCTGAGCTAAACGTGCAAAACTTGCTCTTCCGCTTTTTTTTTTTTTTTTTACTTTGATCACATGGATGCTGAGTTTCAGATGTGGTTTTGGTTCACTTCTGTTGTTTGATTTATCTTCAAGCGCTCTGAAACTCTTGATTATTTTTACTTTTTTTTAAGATGGCATTTGCTCTTTTGATCCTCCTCGCCGCCGTCGTCGGTGAGACCCTCTGCTATCCTGCTGCTTTTGAGGACCTGGGGCTAAATGACAGTAAGTCTTTGGTTTCACCTCGACTGCTGTGAGTTCAAATGGCCCTGCTTGTGTTGCTGCTCAGCTAACGGGTCTTTGTTTTACACCCTACCAGGAAACAGGACCTCCATTAAGTTCCTGGCTGTAGGGGACTGGGGTGGACTCCCTTCCCCGCCTTATGTCACGACTGTGCAGACAACTACAGCTCAGGAAATGAGCAACGTAGCGCAGCAGTTTGGTGCTGACTTCATTCTGGCGCTTGGCGATAACTTCTACTTCACCGGTGTGAAGAGTGTGGATTCCCCACGGTTTAAGGTCTGAGTTTCTCTGGTATGAGACCACAGACACCCGTCTAAAAAGCCTTTTCCTGTGAACTCAAATCTACTGTCTCTTCTAAATCTCCTACTTGAAGGACACCTATGAGGATGTGTACACCTCAAAGTATCTCAAAGTCCCTTGGTATGTTGTGGCCGGTAATCATGACCATGCAGGAAACGTCAAAGCTCAGATCGAGTATTCTCAAAAGTCCGACAGATGGTAAGGTGTGCTTAAACATATTGAAAACTTGAACAGATTCATTACACAGAGGGATATAATCAAAAATGTTTCTTTAACTATTAAAAACATACTCTTCAATTTTTCTAAAAATCTGATAACGTATAATAAATGCATTCTAACCCAGAAATTACTTTCTTCATTGTGTACAACCATGGAAGACTGCTGACTGGACAAATGTCCACACAAAGGCTAAACTTCAGAGGTATTGCTGAAAAGCAATAGCTTTAAAATGTCTCTGTAATGAGTGTGTACAAGCTTCGCTCTTTCAGATGATATTCTGAAATAAATGTATTTAATGACATTCTACTTTCTTCTGCACTTCCCAACAAATGACCAGAAGTCGTGAAGAGAAATTTCTCTGTTTCTCCTTCGTTAGGAAGTTTCCCTCTTATTACTACGAGCTGAACTTCCGCATCCCCAACACGGGGAAGACTCTCACCATCATCATGCTCGACACGGTGATGCTCTGTGGAAACTCTGACGACTTCGCAGACGAGCAGCCCAGGGAGCCCCTGAACGGGGTGGACGCCAACCGTCAGCTGGTCTGGCTGAAGGACCGGCTGGCCCAGTCCAAGGCAGACTTCCTGTTGGTGGCGGGCCACTATCCGGTCTGGTCCGTGTCGAAACACGGCCCCACAAAGTGCTTGGTGCGGAAGCTTCGCCCTCTACTCATTAAACACAACGTGACCGCTTACCTGTGTGGACATGACCACAATCTGCAGGTCAGATTTAACAAACAACTTTATTTGCAGATTTTTTTTTTCTTTTTTTTCAACTTTATTCTTGCGTTTCTGTCTTCTTCCACAGTATCTTGAAGAGTCTGGCGTGGGCTACGTAGTGAGTGGTGCTGGGAACTTCTTGGACCCGGACGTCCATCACTGGAAGAAAGTCCCCAAGGGCTCTTTGAAGTTTTTCACCGGCCAGCTCTCGACTCAGGGGGGCTTCGTTCATGCAGAGGTCACCGACAGCAAGCTGATCCTGACCATCTTCCAGTCCAAAGGCTCGACTCTGTACCGCACCGTCCTTTCCCAGAGGGAGTTCAAGTAGACGTCCAGCTGAGAAAATCATGTATTGTGAAAAGGACTCGATCTGTTGAATCGGCGACAATTCATTCTACTTTTAACTTTGCCACAAAATTTTCAATGTGTTTAAATATTTTAAAGGAATCAAAGTTTCATCTGTGAATTTAATGTAAGCTAAAATGTGTTTTGTAAAGTGTGGTGTATCTTGTTTTGATAGCAGTTTTCAAAGACTTCCTTCAGAAACTGTATCTTCAAGAGTTTTATTGTATAATTTGGTAATGTCAAAAAAATGACAGCATATTGTATTAGTTCTCCTCCCATTAGATGTTGTGCATGCTAATGCTATTCTTTTATTTTGTTGTGCACACAGGGAAACTGTTCTGCTGTTTGAGAGAAATTTAACCCCAGACCTCCCTGAAAGGCTTTATAGCCATTTCATTTTATTTTCTTCTGGATACCTGTGCATTCTCGTTGCAATGGATTTTCTTTTCCAGTGAAATCAATTCAAACCCTTCTCTTAACATGTGAAGATAATTAAGTAAATGTTTTATAAAGTTTCTAAGTTGCATTTTGTTCGTACAAAAACAGTCAATGCTAAGTAAACATGCTTCACAAGGAGAGTAACGTATGATCCAAGACGACACTCGGGGGTTTTCTTAAGTCTGGAAAACTTCGGGTGGTTTTCCAGGTTTGGAAAATATGGAAAAATCTTCACATTTCCAGATTTTTTTTCTCTTTTTATTCGCCCTCTGATCCATTCTTTGTCTTGTTTGCTTTTCGTTTCGTCCCCTCACCCTTCCCCCTTCCTTCGTCCTTTTTTTTACCTTCTTCCTCGTCTCCTTCCTTTTCATTTCATCCTTCCTGTTATCCTTAAGTTTGATTTCCCTGTTTTTACCTGTTTCCTCATCCCTCCCTTCATTGATACATTTTTGCATAATTTTCTTCTGTTCTTTCTTGTGTTCTTTCTTTCTTTTTGTCCTTTCCTTGATTTTCTTTTCATAGTATTTTCCTTTTTCCCTCCTTGTCCCTTTTTTTCCTCCCTCGTTTATCTACCAGTTTTGCATCTAACTTTTTAGATGAAGAAATATTTAGATGAAGTAAATATTTCCGGTTCGTTTAGATTGGCTGTATAGTGCCTGTAAACAGCAGTTTTACAGACCCTGTACATATAGTGCCTGTAAGATCCAGATTTAATGCTACACACTCTTAATTGGGTTTGTGTTTGGATTTTTACTGCACCATTCTGACGGATGAATACATTTCACTCCAGTTGTCCCCAAACGTGGGGTCACAAAGTGTGGCGCATCGAGCTCTTCTTCAGAAATCAAAATGATTATGGGAAAGCAGATTTATTCAATAAATATTAGCGTTAAAAACAAACATCAAATGGATCAAAACAATGCAGTGGCTGCTGATGCTGTTCATGTTTCATAGCCCTGTGTCACTGAGTTTTCTACAAATAACAGGGCCAGGAGTTCCTTCCTTTATTAGTTTGTGACTCAGAAGCTACAATGTTTGTTGGGTTGTTTCTGAACATAACCCATCATTGTGGCCGTGCCTGCATGTGACGAGGTCATTCTTCTGCTGGACTCTCCGCCACACTCTTAAGTATTTTCAGCTTCTCTTTCTCTGTTGTTTTATGTTCTGCCTCAGACATCACTTTGCATTTTGGTCTCCTCTGACCAGAGCTCCGTCCACATGTTTGCTTCCTTCTCCATGTGACTTGTGGCAATCCGCGAACAGGACAGGACTTCTTGTGGCTTTCTTCTCACCACCTCATGACTTTGAGATTTGTGATGGTTTGGATCTCTGCAGCTCATAGGCTGACGCTGCACAGGGCAGTCGGGGACAAGACTTTGACTGTCAGCTCTTTTTTCGTCACAGAGAACGGCCTGGCCTGCCAACAGGGGATTAGCCTCAGTGACTCCAGGTTGGCAGGTCCGTGGTGAGCTGAGCCAACCAATGACGGCTAACCTGGGAGAGGAAGCAACAAAAAAAAAAAAACAACTACAAGCAGATGTTTTCTGTTCATATCTTTGGAGAAGCTTTTTTTTTTTTTTTTTTTGTTAAATGTGCTCTAATCTCTTTTTATGTAAGAGTGTTTTAGAGGGAATGTTCTTCCCTGGATGCCAAAACAAACAGAATTTATAACATTTTGTTAAATTATAATCCCTAATCTCTAATGTTGAATCGAACTTAATCTTTTATGTGGCACAAAGGCAGAGACTCTTCTGCTCCGAGCATAGCTTAGCTTAGCTGGAGGCTATTATAAGGTAACTCACAGTAAGTGAGGTGTATGTACATCCAATTAGGATGAATTTCAGCCTGTTGGTGTAATGCACCACCAGACTGAGCGCTGGGCTGACGGTCCTCTGTCAGAACAGGAGAAGATGGTTGGGGTAATCTGAGGATAAAGGACAGGTGAGGCTCACTTAACCCTGACTTACGTAAATCCACCGCAGATCTGAAGCAAACCTATTCGGGCTGCTCATCGTGTCAGTTACTGCTGATTAGAGTCTATCTAAAGTAAGATGTGGCTAAACAGGAGGCACTCGGGCAGGTACTCGCAGACCTTACTTTACACATTAATCGCTTCATTTGTCTAAGGTCGGGACATTTTCAGCAAAACAGTTTGACTTCCTCTTGGCTTTTAACAAGGTCAGCTACTTCTGACCTTGGCGGGGGAAAAAACTGCTCACCAAAACAAGTCCAAGCTGCCTCACAAATAAAACGATGACCAATTTTATCATTTCAAATAACAGTGAAATAACAGTCCAGTGAAATTCAGTCCAAGTTTGACCCATGTAAACACTACAGGTCCAACAATTTATTCAATTTAATCTAAATCCATTGCAAAGAAAAAGTGATGATATCCGTTTTTGTAAGTCCATTTTAGCCAAATACGAAGGTGTTAAGTTCAAACTGTAAACTATTCAGTTTATATTGATCCAGGTGTTCATAGCTGATTGTTTTACATTTTGAACAAGAAATAAACCAGTATTGACTGGATTGCTTCATAAAACAGTGAGATGATACAACTTATAATAAACCAGCTCCAATGTTATTAACTTGTTGTACATGTTCATTTTTTTTCTCACGGTATTGAAGCTATGCTTAACACATGGTCCATCTCCAGTTAGAGTTTTTATTATCTCTAAGGCACAATCATCAAAAGCACAAGAAACAATGAGTATGTGTAATGAATATATACATATTTTTTTAGCTGCACATGTTGAGTAAAAATAATAACTTCTTCTTTCCAGGACTTTATTCTCTGACAAGCCAAGAGTCCATAGAGTCCATAGTTTGCGCTACTGTGTCTATGTTATAACAGGATAACACTGCATGTTTTTATTGTGTCGTGTTGCTCATCTTGTGTTCAGTTGCTCTATATGAATCAAAGTTTTCTGCAATCAAAATCACATCCCCCACCATGTTTATCACGGGTCAGTTGCTTCATCCATTGGTTTGAGGTTTGGAGATATTCTCATGATTGTAGTGCGTGTTGCGTAAGCAACATACTAAGATCCTTAACATCACCGACTGATTCGACTGGGATGGTCCGGTCGTCTAAATCTGCAGCAAAGTAATAAAAGGGCATTTCGGATGCCGAACTTGCTCATCTACACTGAAAAAAATAAGTCATTGGATGAACATAAAAAAATTATGGAAAGGATTTCCACCTGATTACTTTGCTTTATTTCAGCACCATGTACTTGTGTTACTCCTATTTAAGCAGCAAATGTGTTAGGTCAACCTAATTTATTAAGATTATTCCAATGTAAAGCAAATGTGTTGGCTCCACTTGTTTACAATGGTGATTCAATGGTGATTCTAAATCAAACATGTTGGCTCAACGTAATATATTGTGGTTATTCTTATATAAATAAATGAGTTGGCAAAACTAATTCATTAAGGTTGTTCTAATTTAAACCAAATATTTGGCTTAACCAGAATTATGGTAAGGCAATGGATGATTGTAAATCAATGAGTTTGCTCAACTCCATTCATTAAGTTATTCAAATTCAATGAAATGTGTTGGCTCAACATATGTTTTAAAGGTTCCTTTAACTCAGTTACTATAGCATGACCCAGTGTAGTGCAATACAGCCCGCCCAACTAATCTGCAATGTTTAGGACCAATCATTGATGTAACTTCATTAAGATGAATGTAAATCTAGTTGAAACCACCTATTTTACAGTGGTACCTTCACACTACCTGATTCAGTAGGTCCACTCACTAAAAGCAAGTTAGCTCAACAAATATGCTTCATGCTAAAGACAGCTAGTTAATCGTGTGGAAATCCTTTCCATTATTTTATGACGTTAATTCAAGACATATTTTCAAGCGTTAATCAAGCATTTTAAGATAGCACTAGGTGAAAGTGTAGGAAGAACACTCAACAATTAGAAAAAGTACAACAAATTGTATTTTCAGAATTGTTATACATCGTTTTTTTACACAGCACAAAACAGCTGAGTTGGACATTGAAATAAAAAAACCTACAAAAAGGTTACAGTTTCATTTCCCAGCCAATTCTTTACAACATAAACATGTCAGTATAGTTGCTCAACTTAGAGAACTGTAACAATATAAATCTTTTCTACTGCAGACTTTAAACACTCATTTTCCATGTGAAACTTTGCTCAACTTAGCAGCGAGTTTCATATTGAGAACTTGTGCTTTCTTTGATAAGTTCTTTCCATCCAATTTCATTATTATTTTCTGTATTACTTCAAAGGTATGCTTGAGTTACTGAGCAAGTTGAGTGCTGAACGCACTAAACTTGAGGGTAGCTCAAGTTTAGTGCATAGATTAGTCCCAGCAGCATCACTATTGCAGAAGATACACTGCCCAAGCTGTTCATAACTTCCCCCTCCTCCAGGACAATCCCAACATCCAGATGTGCATCGGCAGCCTCTGCACCCTCTGCTCAAATGACGATTCCGAGGACAGCCTCGGCTTTGGCCATTTCTGCGCATTCATCAACGTCCTAAGGGAGTTAGGGAAGGGTATTGGGGGAGAGACAATTCACATGTAATTAAATAAATAAATTAAGACTGACATTGATTGAGTCACTCATGGACCTTAGTTGGTGAAAGTATTTTAACAACTCTTAGGAGTTCTATTGTAAACACAAAGAAATTTAACATACCATGTACTCCCTCACCAGCTTCTCTGGATCTTCATTTAGGTACACACAGACATTTGAGGATGCACTCTCGTCTGACCTCAGCAGTGTCTTCCTAAATATGCAGATCAAAAACAATGAGAACAATCTCAAACTCCAGCAGTATAGGTTCACACACTTGAAAACATAGCTACATTCAAAGGAAGTGACAACAAAAGTGATCAGTGGCTTGCAGTCTATTTGAAAGATATTTAAAATTGTTAGTATCCCTTCATTATGCATGACTAAAATGGAGTTTAACATCTCATTTAAACATCTAACTGAAGCTGTTAGAGGTTTAAATAAAGACATGAATATATCACCAAAGAAATATGTGAAAAGTACAGAATGGTCAACACAGTCTATATCCTTCTACTTAAATGAATATGCAAAGCAT